TTATTCATTTGACTGATGCTATTATTCAATTAGAAAAAATAATTGCAATTACTTTTTTAACACACAAAATCTCACCTGTGATTAAAACCCATAATCCTCCACACTGCCTCCCAGGTGTTTACAAGAGTATTAATCAACATGATTGGCGGAGGAGTTGAATTATAAAAGAAGGCTCTGCAATTTAAAATGATTTGTGCTTTTATCCGCTAAACAATTATTTTAATTAAAGATGTGTTAGAAGAAAGCCATGATGATGCATTAGACTTGTAAGATACATTTTAAAGAGAGAGCCCACAATATATCTTATTGATATGGTTCTTGTCTTTTTTGTAACTTATAAAACTCAGGAAAATGTCATTAAGGAATTAAAATTTCCATTTTAAATTTATGGAGCTTCTGCATTCCAGAGAATTCGGAACCTGTCAGCTTCCCAAAAAAAACATTTGAGATATCTGTATTAGCAAAGACATGCAGAAATTTTCTGAGGTAATAACAGTCCGGCACATGGAGGAGTAAAGTACTAAGGGAATTAATCCTCAGAGTTGTAGAGCAACTCCTCACCAAACACTTTCATTATCCTGGGTTTAAAAAAAAAGAACATTTCCGCAATATGTTTATGAGAATTTTAAGGAAACAAATAGATGCTCTAAGCTTCCCATACCAGTGGCAAGTCAGTCTACACCCACTGACACCTTTCATGTAATCCTATTTAGTGTCAAAATCCACATGTTATTGTTCATGAAGACACACACAGGAGCCTCTACTCATTCAGTTAGACTTGCCCTCAGGACACATATATTACCGGTTACCAAATGTCAGGTTTCCTGCTTGTAATAACCATTTTCATTTATTCCCTCTGGCCAGTCTCACAGTACTTATTTTCTCTAAAAAAATGGCAAAACATCAGGGAGTGACACTAACTCTGGAAGACTGCATTGACATTTTCCTGGGCAAAGCGTAAGTGTGAATATTACAGAGGAAAGATACACCTTTGTTTGGTTTACATTTTATTTTGGGAGGTATGTTTTTTTCCTTAACATTAAAGGTATCTTTTAAGATTGAGGAAAAAAATACATGACAGAAATAACAGCAGAACAGCAGAAGTGAAAAGAAACCTATTTTCACCCCCATAAAAGGTAATATGCAATGTTTTTCACTAAGAGAAACAAAACTCCTCTATTTAAAATATTTCACAGAAAAGGTCAGGGATGACTGATCACAAAGGATTCTAGGAGAAATGTTTGCAGCACAATTTACAAAAGTCTCCCCCATGTTAACTGATCTTTCTATCAAAGAAAACCTCAAATTCATGGGTATGCTTAAAAGGTTTTGGTCAACTATTACACACTATAGTATGTTGACCAAAAAAAAGACATTACCCAAAACTAGAACATACTGTAAGAAAACCTTTTCAGAAAACAATAGGACGGACTACATTTTAATCAAGATTTATTTAACCAAAAGTCAACTGAGAATACATTTTCATCTATAATTACAACCTGGAGAGTACTCATTTCTACAGCATGGCCTCTTACTGGCATAATCTACCCAAAGTGGCTAGTGTAGGAGTTCAACAGCATTGCCCTATATAGGAGTTGAACTCGCAGTCATGCACCAGGCTAGTAACCACAGCCCCACACTGCTGCCTCAAATTATAAGAAAGCATACACTCAATTGTAATACACAAATACTATGAAGACATATTATTTTTAAGATATGAGAGCAATAAGTTTCAACAACTTTTTCAAAACAAATTCTAAAGAGGCTCTTTTGTCATCATTTTAATTGCCCTTCCTGGGATCAATAGGCCCAGCTGTCCTGGTCACTGATCTCTGGACAAACAACTGCCCACAAAGGAATCCCTTTCTTAAGGGACAGTCAGGGGCAAGCAGACAAAAGTGGCTTTGCTGAATAGCTTTTTATTAATTCCACAGAGTAGCAGAGCTCAAAACAATTGCACCAATGGAAGTGTTCTTTGCTTCGCTAGTTGACAGTGCAATAAAAGTCCATCAATTTAGATACACATGAATCCAAGGTGAGAGCCCGCTACCAAGCTCTCTCCCCAACAACTCCCTCCTGAATTCAACACCCAGAAAGTGAAGGGCACGTCAGACAGCAGACTCCCAATCATCACCTTTGTTTTATCCTACACTCAAGTTTCTCAGGTACCTGCAAATTTTATGAGCTTCCAGATAGACCCGTCCATCAGAGCTAAGTGTCCCTTTAAAACAAGCCTGTAAACTCCACTGGCTGGTTTTATCACCTTTTAAGTTCATAACACAGAACAGCACACCCCCTCAATTAATAAAACACCACACACAACATCCTATAAAAATAATTTAATGTTAACTCCTCCGAACATTAACACACTGAAATGTGCTATATATTTTTCACATGCTTACTTTGTGCTTAAAGACATTTGTTTTTCCACCAGTAATCTGCAGTGTAATCTAAGGGTCATTAACTCTGACTTTTACTACTACTGCATTTACAAGGCTGTGTGGCATTTTCTGCAGACAAAGAGTATTGTTGTGATATTAGACTCAATTGCAGCTACAGAGTGTTGAATTTCAGTGCAAAGACAAAATGACTGCTACTCCACAATGCTTGCAAAAGAATCTATAGTTTGGAAGATACTTAAAATACACTCATAAAAACATCAACATGAAGCAACTCAAAGCTTTTAAAAAAGTATTTTTCATGATTCTTAGCATATTATCCAGCTTGAAAACTCACTCTCCCAACTTTTAAAGTCAGAAACTCTTGTCAAAATGAACAGATATGATTTTTCACTTTCAGCATCAACTTGGGACAATAGCCAGCTTCCATCAATGAGGAAATATTTTTTTCAAAGACATACAGTAGCAGAGTTCCTTACAAAAATTACTAAGCAACTTGAGCATAATTCTCTATGCAATAATTTGCACCACCTCTTTTAAAATGTTTGCCCTTGTTTTTACTACAAAAAAAAATGAAAAAGTTTTATATCCAGAGGCTTGAAATATTGACACTTTTAAAATCAATAATTTACAAATCCCAGCTGCTATTAGGAATTCATCACAATGAGGCCAGTTCTTAACTTGCTCAGTGGTTTGAAAAACAAGATGTTTCAGGTCAGAAACTTTTTTAAGAGACAAGACTGCTTCAGGCTAATTGAGATTTGACCAGCAGAGCTGTGTCACAGTGGGGCCCCATTCTAAAGAATCCAATTTCCACCTTTTATGGAAAGGAAATAAACAACCAACTTCCTGTCTGCTGCATACTAGAAGGATTAGCAATTAATGGGCTTAATCCTTTTCACTTTCTGCTTAATACACATTTTTTCAGATATTATCAACACAGACATCCCATATCAAAGCTCGTAGTCACTAAATGTAGCACTAGGTGTCTGAAAACTGCAAAATGTATCGCTGCAGGCCATCTAGATGGATTTTAAATTGTGTTTCTTAAAGGCTGTTATCAAGGTGCCATTCAAACTGTTTCAGACACTAGGTGGCCCTGGTTCTTGCTGAAGTTTCAAAACACCCATTTCCGAAGTGAATAAAACACATTGAATATATTTGCTAAAACTACTGTACTGAAGTAAATTACACTGGTCATATTTTTAAGGTTTTAAAAAGGGTACTTATCTAAGGAGACACAAAAGTTTAACTTTAAAAATACTATAGACTGCTACACACATCCCTGCCTTCTTTTACTCCTGCCCTAGGCTCAAAAACGCAAAGGTTGTCCGTTTTCTGACCCAGGTGTTCTCTGGGAGCTTGGGTTTCCCTGAAATAAGACTGCGAAACAGAAAAGCGGGCAAATTCTTTTGTGCTTGGTCGAACAACAGGGAGCACGGCCCTGGGGGTAGTGGGGACGAAGGTCCCTAAAGACCAGCTCTGATGTCCTCGGGAGATAAAACTCCACAGCCTCTCCAAAGGGAAGGCCTGCCCATATATATATATATGAAAAAAAAACGCATTCCAAAAGAACAATTCCTGGCAATCACTTACTTTGTGAGGCAGCAACATGAAAGCAGTGGCCAGTGAATGGGGGTCATCTGCTCTTCATCACTAGGGTAACCCACGACCCGGACAGCTTCTAACCTTTTAAACCTGCAGCTACCTCATTTGCACATGAATGGCTGCATTTTCTACCGCAGTGCAACTTCTGGGATCTGAGCTCTAACTTTCTAGAGGCACATGCGTTATCCTCCCTCATGTGTTCAGTTCCTCAGCTATCACGAAGGAGTATAAAGAATTCACCTCCCCAAAAACGCAACATTGGGCATTGCATTTCTGGAGAGCGAAATTATTCAGTCCACCACCAACATTAATCACAGCAAACTTGAAAGAAAATGATAGCATCCTGCCAACAATACAAGAAACTCTCATTTTCTTCTGAATCACAGAATGTCTATTAATGTATTAAAGTCTTTATTTATCTTATTACCTAAAAGAGTCATTTTGCAGCTTTGAAATTTATGACTACAGCAATTCAAAAACTGTATTGTGTGTACTAAAAACTACACACAAGTAAATCTTTAATACATGAGTGCACATGCATGTGTTAGGCTAATTAACTTTAGCTCAACACTACATTTGAATATGCGACTAACACACTGTCATTATCATTGATCTATGAAGGACGGGTTGAAGAACACGTATCATTTCTGTCATTTTAAATATTAACATTAATGTTAAGGGAACTTATTTGGAAGCATAATGAAAAGGCAGATCTCAGATTCCTGTGAACACTAGGCATCATTCCGTTACAGTTTATTACATTCTCAGAGTTTCAGTATAGTGGATAACCCTGTTTTTGACAAAACAGAAATGACAGCATTTTAAATCACTGACTTTCTGCAGTTAAGAGTGAAGTACCAAGCACATTGACCTGTATCTGTGAACAGGGATGTAAATCTCATTCAGCTGTTTAGGTCATCGGCATGCCTAAATAACAAGGCCCACAAAACTCACTGAGTCTGGGACAGAAAGGCATTCCAGAGAGCTACTTACTTGCAATAGTAAGGCGAGCTTTCTGACTCAGGATGGCTCCGTATTTGTTCTGAGCAAGACACTGGTAAAACCCATCGTCCGATTTGTCCCCTCTCCTGCTTTCCACCTCCGCAATATAAAGAGATCCATTGGCGAGAGGATAGACGCGTTCACTCTCCACAACTTTTACTCCATTCTTCAGCCACCTCACAGCAATGGGGGCCTCGCCGTGCGCTTGGCAATCTAATATCAGGGGGTCCTTCCTCATTACAGTCACATCGTGGGGCTCTTTGATGAAAAACAGCTCACTAAAACATAAAACACCTGGAAAGCAGAGAAAGTGGAATTAGTCTTAGGCAACAGGGGACCACTGTCTTACATAACACATTTCACTAAGCTTCAGCCTGGCTGGTGGTGGGATTTCCTGCATTTCAGCCTCAAAGGTCAGCTTAAACAGAGGGCTTGGACTTCAGCCATCTTTAGTATTTACCACGCTGGGATACTGTAATCATATTTCCATCTCTATGTTCCTTTCTGTGCTACTGGCAATTTAATCTAATTATTTATGCCTCATAGGCCCACTGGCTGTGAAGTCTCAGATTCAGTGGCCTCCCATTAATTCAGACATTGTTGCACTGAACTCTCAGCATGGATTTTAAAAGTTGCCTCCATTTAAATGGGAAGCTGCCCTTCTTGAAAAAGAAGCTCTGTTAGAAGCAGACCTATGCACAGTTTCGCTAGTGTGTAAAAAAAAAGCGCTAAGAGCAAACAGTTGAATTGCTACTGCTAATGGAACAGCAGGTTACCATTCCAAGAATTCTTGAAATGGAAAATTTCATCACTTTGGGAGAAGAATTTGAGGCCAGGCTATTTGCTCATTTTACAGGCGTGTCGAGAAGTAATCGTGAATCTTTTTGTGAAGTCGGACGTTTCCCTTAACAAATGTTACCCGAGCACTACGAAGTTGATTTAAAAAAAAAAGTTTTACAATTTGATATTTTATGTTTGGCCCCAAAGCATAGCATGACAACTTTAGTAAAAAAAAAAGAACAGTGTTTTCAGTACTTAAAAACACATTCCCTGCGTCCTTAGGCAATTCCCAATAGGACCGACCCGCAACATCAGTTAGGGAGTTATCTTGCGCTCGCTCTCTGAGGTCCCCTCTAAGATTTTACCTTAAAACCCGCAGAGATGATTATGAATTGCGAGGTGCGAAAAAAGCGGGCATTAATTGCTCAGCTTTGACATGCAAAGACACGATTAACACCCTTTATCTGAGCGAGTATCCTAACACGCATTGTTTTGCACGTGCTTCGCGGCTCTCGGCTGTTCAAACAGACCCGACTTCTCCCGCTGCAGCGGCGTGTTTACGTGCGCATTCGTAGTTTGTCCAAATAAAGATAACACCAAAACCCTGGTCCAGCACTACAGTTTCTCTTTATGTGCTGCTGCACATATTCCTTTAATAAGTTAAATTTAAAGGGCAACCACAAGCATGGATTGTGTCCCATGTGCAAATCTTCAATTGAATTTTAATCCGACCATATACAGCTTTTTGAGCCACTCCGAGCCACACTGCATATTCCCAAGGGATTCGATCTACAAAATGAACAGCAGCAGCACACAGGCTAAAAACTGAGCCGCTATCGCATTAATCGATACATTTTTAATCAACCCACATACAAGATAAGAGTCTTTCGTTATTTTTGTCAATGTTATCGATACTGCAAAGGCTACGTCAAAAGTTTTAAACCATTTCGTCCGCGCACACACTTAGTCCAGTCTCTGACAATTCGAATAAAAACGAACCTCAGGAACTTCCAAGTTGACTTAAAAACAACTTTCTTACTTCAATCGATGTGTTTTGCAAAACAGGAAAAAATAACTGCAGCTTTGACAGCAGAAACGACTAAAGAAAAGCGTGCGCAGCGAAAAGGATCTGCATTATTCATGTTAATCGATGTACTGTTTTACATGTTTAGCGCTAAAGCCAATATTCTCAGTAAAGCCACACAAAGTTAATCATGATTTCAAATAGAGAAAAAGTTTGACCACTGAGTTCCACATGTAGAATAGTGTAAAAATAACAAGGGATAATATAGATTTAGACAACTACAGAATTTCTGGGGGAAAAAATAAATAAAATCCACGTGTATCACTGATGTTGTTATTTGCATAATGCTTGCTGACTCCAGAATAGAGGGAATCTTTGATTTTTAAAAACCCTGGAAAAAGGACTGAATCATTGAACTAAAATCAGTTGGGAATGCATGGGGCAGATCGGACAATAGATGCCCCGTTGAATGGTCAGCGCGGCCATTGCGCTGCCCTGCTCGGACACTTCCAGATAGGAAACGTGTCCACTGTTAAATGTATTTAAAAAAGTCATTATAACAGTGACCTTAACTTTAATTTTACTGATAAGACTGTTTTCGGCTCCCATCCGAGGTTAAAACCAGTAGTTTAGGAAGATACATTTATGGTCAAAATAAGTCATCTTAAGAGGCCAGCGAGAGGGGTAAGAGATACTTCCTATGGTCAGTTCGTCTTCCCACTGATGCACATTCTCAGAAACAAAAATCTCCCCTTTTAAAAATAAAAATAAAAAACTCAAATTACAATCCAATACACTTACCTGAAATAGGAAGAAATACCGCAAAAAACAGCATACGCTGATATATTTTCCGTTTAAAAGACGCCATTTATTCCGGCTGTTTAGGCATGCTAAATCCTACTACTGTTGCCTCTCACACTACTCTTTGCTAGCCTGCTTTCAACTGAGAGCGCCACTGATTGCACCGGGGACTACTTTTCGCTGAGCGTAGATACACCCACAACCCCCCCAGCACTGTGGTGTATAGCAGAAGAAGGAAAAGGAAAGAGTTAATCCGCCAATTTCCCTGAGTCAAGAACAGCCCATCCAAAAAAAAACAGCTCATTCAGGTACGAAGCAGCGTGTCAGGTTTGAGGCTGTGAATGAAATACAGTTGCTTTTTCTTCTCCTCAGTTGCCCTGTTTACCTCAACTCACGTATAAATATATTTTTAAAAAGTTTAATTTTCTTTTAAGAAACAAAGCTTTCATAATCTGTTATGTATGGGATATATTTGTTACGCACGTATGATTTAAAGATAAATATGTCCATTTCCATTTGTAAATTCACATATTGCTATGTACTGCACTTTTTTCTTACATGAATATTAATTCCCAGCATAAGCCATTCATCAGAAATATTTACCTTTATAAAAACATCTAATTCAGTCATGCGCTTTATCTTTTTTTTTGTACAAAACTGGATACAAAAAAGGTGAAACTTCAATCTTTTTTTAACCTCTCCCCTTTGAAATTTATGTTCATAGTGTTCACTATAATCTTCACTACTGGAATAGAGATTTTGCTTTTGGAGTGACTCAACGGAACACTCTAATCCAAGTCAATATATCCCAATTAATATGGTCTCTGTCGATCCCATCACTGCAAGACACTACTACAAGTTCCTGAGTAGAATATTTCCACCATTCACAACTTGAATTCACAACATGAAATTCTTCCGTCAATTTAAATCCTTCTCACTGTGATCTTCAAGGCATTTCCATGATTGTTGATTAAAATGAAGTTTGATTCAAGGCCTATATCCAGCACAGTTGTGCAGAGACGCCAGAATCTACTCTGCCAAGCGATGGGCGTGAGGCATGGTACACTCTGGATGGGACGCCAGTCCATTGCAGGGCACACACAAACACAGACATGCGCTCACACACTAGGAACAATTTTCCCAGAAGTCAATTAACCTCCTATTATGTTCTTGGACTGTGGGAAGAAACCAGAGAACCCAGAGTAAGCCCACATGAACACAAGGTTAAACATACAAACTCCACACAGACAGCAACTCAGGTCCAGGGATGAACCCAGTGCCCCAGTGCTGCCAGGCAGCAATGCCAACTACTGTACTACAGAATTAAATTGAGTGCTGTCTAGTTGGCTGTACATTGTACTAGAAAACAAATATACCTGTGAACGTCAGCTGAAAACTGGCTGTTTCAGTAATGGTGGCATTTGACATTTTCCTCTTCAGAAACAGGCCATTGGTACCGCCATCACTGTATAGAAGCTGCATTTTGAACATAATCTGATGAAAATGCAAGGAATGTCACTTAACATTGTGCGGCAATGGCCAAGTGAGATGTGATCACTTCCTTGGTTCCTTACAATTTCTCCTGACCACTCAGTGTTAAAAAGTGCAGGAGTGCCAATCAGGAAGCTGGGGAGCCTGACAGAGGCCGTGCACTGCGTGATGAGAAATGAAAAAATTCTCAAAGGCAGACAAAAAAGGAAGAAGTAATAATGGGAGCATAGCACACCCTGCACCCAGCACAGGAGAAATCTGAACACCTGTGGAGGGTGAGATGCTACTACAGGGCACACACACAGGGACAGTTTAGGGACACCTAATCTAGTCAACTAGTAATCTTGACTAGTGACTAGTCATCTTAATCAAGTCTCGCTATCTAAAGAAAGTGGAAAGAAAGAAGAGAAAACCCATCTGGACACAAGGGAAACAATCAAACAGATAGTATAAGACATTAAGCTACACACTTGTGGTGGAGGGGATCCCCCATACCTGTAAAGCACTTTGAGTGGAGTGTCCAGAAAAGTGCTATATAAGTGTAAGCAATTATTATTATTATTATTATTATTATTATTATTATTATTATTATTATTGTTAAATTGCAGGTGGTTGGCATGCAAAAAAATGAATTTCTTTGAATTGAGACCTGGTTAAAGGATAAAACAAAGTGTAGATAATTTGTTCAAATTGGAATGATGTAATTAGTGGGGTACCTCAGGGATATATATTATGACCACTGTTCACTCTAATTTATATGAGAGTATTAGCTTTTTATAATTATTTAGATACGATAATAGGTAAAATAGTCATGTTTAAACATTATATCAAAATAGGAGGATATAACAAATATTGTCGAAGTAAATCCAAAGGAATTATCCCAAATTCAAGGCAGGGCAAACACCTACAGTTGAAATTGAATGCACTGTACACAACTGTAATGTAGCCTTACATGCTGATGCAGTGCTTGAAGAAACTACATATGAAAATAATGGAAAAGTATTATGCTGTAGTATCATTTATATATTCTAGACAATGTGGTGAAGCAATAAGAAAATCAAGCAATGTTAGGACAGTATATAAAAAATGTTGAATGTAAATTAAGGTTTTTGTGTTAAAACTGGATTGTATGTTTTATTTTAAAATTGTAAATTGTTAATAGTAAGACTCCATTTACAATTCTGTGTATACCCCTGTTGACCATTTTACAAAAAGAGATTTTTCTGTATTGGAACCAGTTAAAAAAAGTGCAAGCAGATAGATTCCATGGCTTAAAAGTCTTTTTAGTCTTCAATTACTTCTTATTGTCAAAATGTCTTATTCAAAAACCAGAAGATAAATATTCTCTGGTTCAGCAGGTGTTAGATTGCAATGATACAGTTGAATAGGAGGTGGATGTTTGATTTTTTTACTGCTGTTTTCAATTTTAAATGCACAATAATAACCAGTGATTTCCAACACTTGGTTTATAATATAATATATTAATATAATAATAGCCCTACAGTACTAAAAGAAACAGCCATGACACAGTGATAATACAAGTACAAACAGAAGGACAAGGACAAAACAGGGAAGGAAAAGCTGATGTTCTGTATATTTTACAGGTGCAGAGTACTGTCAATTCCAGTAATTTAGGTCTCATTTTGTGTCACTCTGCCTGCATATGCACTAGGATTACATGATGCATCCATCCATCTGTTTCTAAGCTCTTCATCCAATTCACTGTCACAGGGTAGCCAGAGTCTATCCCAGCAAGCAACAGGTGCAAGGATGCCCATCCAACACAGGGCACAATTAACTCACCAGTATGTCTTTAGACTGTGGAAGGAAACCTGTGCTTCTGGAGAGAACACCAAGACCATACAAACTCCACGGGTTAGCTCCCCAGATCCAGAATTGAACCCAGGCCCTCAGCGCTGTGAGGCAGCAATGCTAAACACCTACCAAATCCATAATATTAGTTATTCAGTTCAGCACAAGCTCTACAAGCCTTTTGAGCTTTTTGTGTTATATTTGTAAAGCAGAGAGACATAGAAAGCTTTTTATATTTAAGTATTGTACATTAGTTGCCCATTTAACACAACCTCTGCTACTAAATGAGTCAATATTGAACTCAAACTGTTAAAACTGAGGTTAAGTGGGCTGATTGTATTGACACAATAATTATTAAAAGAACTGCACACAACCGATCAATCAATAACTATATGGTTACCTGCTTTACAAGATGAGAGGCAACATGAAGTCTAGCTAGACTGCACAGCTCAGGCTCAGATGCAGTGTGCCAGGGGAGATTAACAGGTACTTTCTTATATGTAACTTTCTTCTACTGCTGCCTCAGAAATTGTTTAATTTAATTCTAATCTCATTTACCCCCATGTAATTGATATTACAAAAAAGATTGAGATAAAGCATTTCCTTCATTGTCATTCAGAATTTTTAAAGCTTGTACAGGAGGTTTATTTGAAACTCAATAGAGTATTTTCTGGAATAACATGACACTCTTCATAAAGTCTAGTTTTCAGAGGGATTGCAAAACTCATTCATGAGACTGTTCAACAGCAAAGATGATTCTCCTGCAGTACAAGCAGATGTTTTTAAAGCACGGCTATGACTGTGGCACATGAGTTGATTTTCTCACAGACACCTGATCCTACACCGGCTACCCAAATGTCTTTCATAACTCAGTTTGAAGTTTCTCCCCTCTCATAAACTGAAGCCGTCCTTGTACTCCAGCCTAGTGAGTCATCATGGCAGAGGTAATCCCAATTTCCATGCCATAGAACCAGCTTCACTCCATCCAGATGGGACGTTGGTCTATCACAGGGTTAAACCCCAGAATTGGGGGTCCTCATTTGTTCAGCTGCATGGACTAGACCACTAAGGGAAAACTCTTTTGTTGAAGGGCACAACAGTCATACCATAGTGTGTATTTGAACTCATCAGCCTCTTGCAAGAACAGTGCTCTGTAGTGCACCCAGATTGAAGTTACAACCAAATGGGAATCAGATGGAACCAAGTAACACACAGACATCATAACAGTGTGTGGTTTACCGAATACACTCTTAGACCAGAACATTGCCTGTACCGACTGGGACTATATAGACTTCCCAAGAGACAAGGTGGATATTGTTAACCTTAGAGCATGGTTTCCTAACCTTGGTCCTGGAGGAACATTTTACTGTTGTATGTGCTGTTTTTTATTTCCTCCAGAGCTCTGCATCTCAAGTTCTAACCGATGACTTAATTGATCTGCTTTCTTATTCATACTTTTATTAGTTTGTTTCTTCAGTTGATCCTGAGAGTCAAAAATACCCAACTTCAAGGATTCAATTTCCAGTACCTTTAGTGCATAGAACTTTACATATTCTCTCCTCAACCTGCTTGATGTAATCTCTGACTAAACAGCTCTTACTCACAGACACGGGAGAGAATGATATTGTGTGTTATTTTTACTTCTTCAGAGATCTAGTTGGTTACATTTCAGGTTTACCTGTGAGTGAGGACAGCCCTGAAATTCAGATATTGGTACAGGGTTGATACCAATTACCAATCCCTTGTGACCTTTTAAGAACTGAATTTACAGATATGTCCCAGATAGAAAACTGAAGTCAATGAACCTGTGATTAAGAA